CGAGAATTTGTGTGTGTGTGAGTGGAGCAACAGACTGCAAGACTCTCCCCACGGTCACTAAACTCGTATATACAATGTACCGATTTTTGGCGGGACGTGGTTGGCCCTGTTTCTGGTGTCCTACCTTTTTCACGATGAAGCTTGTTCTTCAAGTGCCTGACAGGATGTCTTCTCGCCCAACTCACATCGGGTTGCTTACCAGGCTTACCAGTACGATCACTTGAAAAGCTCAATTGCTTCCCCAAGCCTCCCTGGCGTCAGTGATGTGAAGACTCGAACTCCCCACCAAAAACACCGCATAAAGGGCATAAAGACAGTGGGCACTGTAGAAGCAACCTATACATGCTATGCTCGTCTGCTTGCCTATTTGTAGGGTGAAGTGTGACATGTTCATGCCTTTTTCGTTTTCATCAAAAGGAAGCCAATTTCAGCGTTTGAAGTCTGACCAAAACCAGTCCGATCAGCAATACCACCACTCTCCTTTCAGCGTCCCCATCAGCCCTTCCTTCAGCCGGCTCACCACACTGCCTCAGCCCAACGTTCTTGGGTTTCATCCGCGACGCAGAACTTCACTTTCGAGTCGTCGAAGCGGATCTGCCCTGAGCGACGTGAAAACGTGCCCTTCGTGCCCTTCGTGCCCTTCACCAGGTCGACAAACGTCCACCACCAGCAGATTGATCCAGGAAGGGCGGAAGATGGTTGAACACTCACTTTCCACTCTCCCTCTTCCAAAATATCGTCGCTGACCGATCCCTTAATTACTTTGCTTTTCTGAACGTACTTTGTGTGAGCATGACAACTGCTTTGAAGATTGTCAAACTAACAGCCCGGTTGGTTATGTCACGTACTTCAAATGTTGACTGCCAAATCTGAAATACCCCGCGTGAATCCAGCACAAACATCACTTGTCACTGCAAATCTGACACCGGCACCAAATCGATAGTGCCATGACCAAATCGGGTCGCCGCTTCTTCACCCCCCAAAAAGGAATCAACCAAACCAGGCTACCGAATCTCGCAACACGTTCGTCTTCTCGTCTTCTCTCGTCCGTGTTTGGTCGTCCGTGTTTGGCCGTCTTCTCTTGGCCAGGCATCGAAGCAGCGGCACAACGTTCACGACGAGGGCCAAGATCATCCAGAAGACCGAGTCCATGCGAAAGAAGGCCCGCTCGGGCTCCCAGATCTGTGGCCATGCCGGGGTGCCATAGAGCAAATAGGCCGTGATGAAGAGGAAGCCCAAGACCACACAAGTACGAATGAAGGCCACGTCATGTAGGATGCCCGCGTAGAAGAAGAAGAAGTTTGCAATTTGATAAAATGGTCCACAAATCTCAACCACCTGCAGACTTGAGAGAGGAATCTTGGGAAACTACTGGAAACACAGTGAAACACAGTGAAACCTGCCCGCGAAACACGGTGAAACCACTGTGAAACCATGGACATCATTCTCTGACCGTGAAACCGCAAAGGTGAACTGGAAACCTGATCCTGACCAGGTTTGAGCCGTCAATTCGCTCGAGAGCATCCCCTTATTCATATAGGGTTGGTCTACACGAGGATTCTGGACCTTAGGCTCTAAACCCAACAAGTGCATCGCTAGTAGTAACAAGTGCATTGCTAGTAGTAACAAGTGCCCTACTAGTAGTAACCATGAAAGAGCCAAGAACCTGCAGATTCTCATGTAGGTCTCTATCACTTCTTCAGACTTCTCAACTGCAGCCCTTCGTGTTCCCATTCAAACGGATAAATCAAATTACAAAATATTCAATGTTCAATTGGGGAGGATTCTGTTGAAACCGTTGTGGGAAATTATTTGACAAGTGTGAGAGGATACAGCCTCCAAATGTCTTCGAGTGTCTGTTACAATTACTGAAAAGGAGACGTTTGAACCTTGAATTTTGAACATCTTAGAGTGTGATAAACAATGATAGAGATAGGGCGTCCCAACCTGTTTGAAGAGGCCTCTATCATTGTCTCCTCGATTCGTTTAACGCTTTTCGCATCCTGATTTAAAAAACGAACATGCCTTGATTAATTCATATTAGTTCTAAGAAACCATGTGATTTGGAGGGCGGTGAGAACCCCGGCCTCCCACCCGGGGAACCCCGGTTGCAAGCTCCCGGTCACAGCCACGGCCGCAAGGAAGGCAATGAGGATCCTTTTCCGATTTCTCCGCGCGGAGAAAGAGGCGAGGCAAGAGATCGACGGGGGAGCAGAACTTGCGGACCAATTGTGTCGGACCAACTCCCTTGGTTTTTGTTTGGACTTCAACAAAACCTTCTTTGAACCTAACCGAACTCCTGCTTTGTAGATCTCCCCAGCAGTGGAGTGAGGGCGATCTTATGTCGGTGGTGAACTCACTCCTCCCTCCTTTCTCCTCCTCAGCGCTAAATCCTCCTCACTCATTCGGTTCGCTTTTGTCAGCCACGATGATGCAGCGATCCAGCAGGCAGGTTGTTTGGCGCACAGAGCGCTGTGCCGAGCAAAACAGCCGAGATCAAAATGTGCCGAAGGATACGCCAGAGAATTTGTTGGCAAACATATCAAGTAATTGGCCAGAAGACAGGTCTGATGTCAACACAATTCAAAACGCCTGCAAAACATGTTGCCAGAAGTTATGTTTCACAATACATGCCAAACAATGTGCGAATAATATGTCTTGTGATGATAGAATGATAGATAGTATGTCTAGAAGACTTGTCAGATTGTATGTTGGATAGTATGTCAGATCGTATCTCAGCAACTATGTCGGTACATGTGTCACCTTAAATGTCAGTGCGCGTGTCCGAACATGTGCGGCCAGAGGTGTCAGAGTACATGTCAGAATGCAAAAAGGCACGAGCGGCAAATGAAATGCCAGCCAATTTGCCAGGCAGTATGTCAGGAGCCTTGTCAGTGCATACGTGATCGGAAACCGGAAACCAGCTGGCATACGTTGTGCAAATTGAGCCTTTGTGGGGCTGATTTGAGGCTGGGACCCGCATGTGCAGAGACTGAAGGGCCCATTTGGCAACAAAAAATGCTGTCCCCAAAGCTCTATATCAATATACTGTAGTTCACAAACAAGCGGCCTCGGTCTAGCAGTTTCTCCTTTCATGTTCTTTGCATGACGAGTAATGGACCAAACCTATATTTACAGGAACTATTGCGGACGGTCCCCCTTCACCTTTAGGGGCTAAAAGAAGCAGTGAGGCCGACCCAAATGGTAGATGTTGTCCAATCCCAATGCTTATGCCGCTTTCTGAGCCCATGAAGCATCAAGACAACTCAGAAACACTGCAATCTAGTTGTATCTAGCAGGAAGACATCACACCATCATCCAGTTTGAAGTCCGTCCGTCCGGGTGGGCTAAACCGAGCATCAAAAGGCCAATGACATAGCCGAGAAAGGCGCCCAGCGGGACGTGCGCCATGGCCGCGCGGCACTGCACTGCACTCGGATGGAGTGGTCACGAGGTTTGAAACTGGTGAGGTTCTAAAACTCCTGACCTGGTTTCGATCATGCTAAGCTCCACTTGGACGGAATGGCAATCTGAAAAAGAGAATCCAACCAACGATAGACAGGCAATAAACAGGTCAAACATCGTGCATGGAAAGCAGCCTCCGATGGAAAGGACCGAACATGTCACATGCGGTGCATAACAAGAGTCATCATACTAGTTCAAGTTCACATAAACGAGAACATCTTTACATGGGCACTATTCAACCAAGCAATCCTGTTCATTCGATGCTTTCCGAACAAACCAGCTTTTTGGACATCGACAAAAGAGTCGCCATCGGGCACCGTGCTTGCCATGAAGACTGTCCTGGACAAAGCACATCAATCGCATCAATACATGGTTCAAGTTAGAATAGACCAACCCACAGGTTGCGGGGTCTCCCCCTATTCTTACAAGCAACCTACACAAACACATTGGCTAACACAGGGAAAGCATGCTTGATCTGCATCCAGGAAAACGCCCGAACGTCCACTGACAGACCATGGCCCACTGCGGACTTGCATGGCCCACTCGTGGTGGTGCTGGACACATCCATTGGACATCACACCGTGGCACGTCACGTCATGCCTCCTAAAGTGTCTGTCTTGCACATGGTGTGGAAATATGCTCAAGAAGAAATCCTGCAACAGCTGTAAATCCCACATCAGACAGTGCGAGAATTACTATCAAACTAAAGTTTTGTGTGGGTCCACCAGGCTCCAGTACGGCAGAAAAACTGGATCAACGATCCAATGACGCACTCTTGCAAGTGATCTGAGGCCTCACCATGGCTCGCATCTACTCTGAAATGGTTCACAGAGTCTCATACCAATGGATCAGCGAAAGGGGGCCAAAGCTTTACAATGTCCCTGACTTCCAAGGAGTGTCGGATGAGTCTGTGCGATCATGATTTAGGATACCTTCCCCTTTCCGAGAGTTTGGATCTGTTTGGAAAAAATAGTGAGTCTTCATGTGATTTTGGTCGGAAGACTTCCCGCCCCTACCAGGCCCTACCTCTCAAGACTCTCAAGATGGTCTTCCCATCCTGCCAAAAGATAAGTATCCCATGGAAAAATACGGAAAGGCTTTTGATGAATTTCCACCAAGCTCGTTGCAGTAGTTCCGGAGCACCTCTGCCAAAACCCATCTTCATGGAGGAAAACACCAAAGCCGGCACGGATGGAGAAACAATGAAAACGGAATGAAAGCCAATGGCGCCAGACCATACGCACTCAATATCTTCAAATTACAGTGTGTCTAATGTGCTAATTAATCTATGATGTCGTTGATATGCAGGTTGCACAGAAAAAAGAAAGCGTCCTGTTGAAACTTTGCATGGTTTGGAACACGGAGTCCAAAACAAAACCGTCCAAAAAAATACCACCGGCGTTTCGGATTCACCCGCGCCAGCACCCACAGTCGTTTTCGGCTCTTTCAGGCGCAGCGACCGTTTCCCGTTGTCTTGGACAAGCTCGGGGGAAAAAGGGCACCGTGCCGCTCCCCGGGTGCCGCTCCCCGGGTCCTCACGCCTGACGGCCGACCGCTCCGAGGGACGAGCGAGAGGCCTTGGTGACCGATCCTCTCGAGTGGACACACGGCGCTCCGTGTCACACACAAAAGAAGGACACGCCCACCACGAATGTTCGCCTCAACAGAACAAGGTAACAAGTATGATGGGCTCCAATCGATGCGACAAGCAAACAAAGTGGGCGAGACGAGAGATGTCTTCAACGAGGCCGAGAAGCATGCAAGTCGGGCCTCCGGTGACGAGAAGCTGGACAAGAATTGCGTCATTTTGCCATCGTGGTGTGCTCTGGCAAAGTCAAAGGCTGTGAGGCCTGACATTCGTTCAGCCACGCGAGATGTCGAAAAGTTTTGAAGGTCTGATGGCACGGGGGGAAAACCCTAGTCATCCCCTGGACTGCGCTCAAATGCTGGACTCTTCGTCATCCATCTTCAGATTGACCATCTTTATATATCTTATCCAATTTCAAGAAGGATCGGGAAGTTGGGACATATTACATCCTTCCTACTCCTTTCTACCATTTTCTATCCCATGCTCAACTCAGCAAATAGCGCGACTTGCGGTCCCTGTCCGTCACGGCCTTTCATAGGCAGTGAAGTCAACTCAGCAAATAACAGTTCCTCAATCATTGACTGCCTTCCTCATTCCCCGCTCTTCCGAACCTCGGGTATTCTTGGCACGGATCTCTGCGCGCGCCGTCAGGAGCAGCTCGACCACCGGTAGGTGACCTCGGTCCAAGCCGTAGAACGCCGCGTGCTCTACGTCCGTGCAGCGTTTCTCACGTCACCTCCTCACGTCGAGGGCAGTGGAGGGCATTGGTTTCGATTATGTAAAGGCATCGGGTCATTAGGTCATAGCGAGGAACGCTTTGACATCGGATCCAGCACTTCCTCGCTGCCCAACGCTTTCGGTGGCTTCGCCCCCCTGGACCCGCAGCACATGTCCGGATTTCCAAGGCCGGCCAAGGGTTGAAAGGCCATCAGCAGTGGCATCGGTTTCACTTTCGAGCTTGGAGCGACTGGTATTCACTGGTATCGACTGGTATCGGCTTCTGTCGGATTGAAAGCGTGAGGTTGTGCGATGTTGGATGTGATATGATGGAGCAAGGCCGCGTTGCTCGCGGGTTGTGAGCGAGCAACGGTAAATAAGTCGTTGACCCACCCCAAGAATGGAGCTGAACAAGTGTCTCCCTGTGTCCACATCACACGAAAGACAAAAGTAAAACGTCAACTGAATCGTCTTGAGCCGAGTTCAACGACATCATTGGCATTGGCTTCTGGTGCCGAGAGACCTTTGGCCACCGCGCGGTGCAACGGGGTCATGCCTCAAGTGTCCGAGATCTCGATCGGCATCCGGGGTCACCCGTGCGGTGTCCGGTGACACCGGTCGAAAGAATCATCTATCTTGTTGCATAGTGACAGACACATACTATAGAACCTATACTCATTTGTTTGCAAACGAAGCGGTTCTAATATATCTATCTCTCACTAGATCATGATGTTCTTTCTTTGGGTTTAGGGTTTAGGGTTCATTCATGATTCACGTGGTTTTTCTGCGAATTAAAACCCACCAAACCTCCCAAACCTCGCTGCCTTCGAGGTCCGGGCCCCACTGATCCTGTGCCTTGAGATCGGCCCTGTAGCGCAGCAACTCCTTCGCCAAAGCGCTGTGGCCCTTTCGCGCCGCATGGTGCAGGCAGGTCAGACCTGACGAAGTGGTGCAGGCAGACCAGCGAATGGAGAGCGCAGGGGTGAAGTTGGATGGATGTGGGTAGTTGGATGGGTGTTCATGATGGAAACAGAATCTGTGTGCCTTGCAGAATTTTGGGACTAGTACAACTCTTGCCTTGCGACTCCTGTCTTCTTGGGGCATCAAGGCACAAGATCATCATCCTTTACTTCTCAAACAGTGTCGGAAAGTGGGTTGTCAACAGTGTTGAGTTCCCAACTAATCACCATGTTCTCTTCCCAATCCAACAGCCAAAGGACCTCTGAACAACCGTCCTCGCGCGATTCGAATCTCGCAAAATCCCCTTCCGCACCGGGAGCCAGCCGCCCGCGAGCCCGCCGTCTCGATCTCGAAGCTGAATCCTTTGAGGATCTTCTTGCAAAGACTGGATGGCTTCCTCGTGTCGACCTCAAGGTGTTGACCATCACGGCGCGGGTGGTGTCGTAATATATAAACACGCGAGCCGTAAACCCGTTTTCTGCGTCGAAGAGGAAAACCGGGCGCATATGGTGCAGAGGCACAGGCTCTGTTGGGTGCACAGCCAATTCATGTGCAGTTCCGGGTAGAACAACGGTGTTCATTTAGTACGCATGCGTCTGTTTTTTCTACAAATGTTGGGTCACAGGATTCCTCAAATCCGATGAAGCATGACTCAGGAGCACGAACATGTCATCCGAACTGGTCTTCATCGACCTTCAATTGGCCACCCTGCCGAAGCTTTGAGGGACCGCCAAACTCTTCTTGTGCCACCCTGCACGCCCCCGTCGCTCCCGCCGCTTCCGTCCCACTCGTGCGTGGCCGTCGCCTGCATCCGCCGCCCGCAAGATGTCGGTTCCTCCGGAGCAAGGTCACAACAAGGTTCGCTAGTAGAAACAAGTGCCACGCTAGTAGTAACAGGTGCCTTACTAGTAGTAACAAGAAGCTAGTAGTAACAAGAAATCTGCCGTCGAGAACATGCGTCTCTGGCCGCTCGGTGCTGTAGAGAAGTGGATCATGTCTACCTACACAAATCGGTCTCGGATCCTTTGGAAGAATCGGTTTGACGTGGGGGGGCCTTTGAAAGGGATCCTTTTGGGCGAAGACATGCTTTTGGGCCTCAGCCCTTCCACGCTCGCCCAGCGAATGGAAGCGTTTTGCGAAGGTTTCCCCCGACGGGTGACGGGTGGAAGTGATCATTGATGCGATGAAGCTTCTGCTTGAATCATATCGAAACGATAAATCTATGAGAAATATGTTGAGGCAGCTCTAGCACTGTAGACTGTAACCAAAATTAACAATACAGATTACATGTTGATGATTGCTCCCTGTTATAGTTAATAGTTACTGCAACATGGATGCTTCCAACCTTCGCGTGATCACCTCCCTCAGACCTCTCTCGTCGGATGGCGCGGCAAGCTGCTGAATCTGCTGCCTTTTGAGCCGATCTGCCCCTCCGGTCATTGGGTCTTCGGTCTTCCCCTTTTGGAACTGAAAAGAGAATCCCTTCCGAGTCTTGAGAAGCTTTCCGTCGCCTAGAGCGACTCACGCGAGCGCTTCTCTCGCGAGAAGCTTCTCCGCAATGCACGAGCCGCGAGCCGAGCCACGAGGGGCCGCCCAGCGCGCCTCCGGTGGGCTTTTCAAGCTCTTCCTGACACCAGTGAGTAGACTCGAATGCGAGTAGACTCAAGACCACTCACAGGTCCCACGTGCACGTTTTGGGCTTTGCGAGTCGAAATCTGTTAAAAGAAAAACTCCACCCTGCTGTCCATGCACCAAGCAGTCAACATGACAGGCAACAAGTGGGCATAACAAGCGGGCTTCACTAACCAGCAGCCAGGCTTTGGCCATCCTTTCTTTCGATCTCACAAGATGATCCAAAGAACACCGAAGAGGGCAGCCCACTTGTCAAGCCCACTTGTCAAACCTGCGAAGGATGTCTTAGCCATTCTCTGCTCTATTCTTAACCCACGTCTTCATGAAACAACTCTCCTTCTGTGGAAAAAGAACAGACTCCGTCCAGCCGTGCCTCCGGCGGTGGCATGGTCAGGCTCAGGTTGGTCAATCAAAGTGTGTTTTAAAGATCACAAGTTATCTGGCTTACAAGGCAGAAACTACATTGACATGGGCCCTCGTACTCTTGCACGTTGTGGAAGACATCGTCTGCAGCTGTTTTTCTTGTGCAAATCGCCCTGTTATATTATGCCATCGGCGAACAACATCAAAGACCTCTTGAGCCAGCCAGGAGACCACGGATATCAGCTCGACAGCTCGTAGGAACTTGCCACCCCAGTCACCCCTGTTGTGCTGGGCTTCGGAAAAATCAACCGCTCACAACCAAACTCCCATGGGGTGAGGAATCTGTCTGCGAACCTCTGCGCCCTTTTCGAACAACTTTTGCGACGACGAACTTCAGCACTCAGTATGCCGCGGCCTGAAACAACGGCCAACGGCCAACGGCGTGGATTTGCTCTGGGATGCGGCATGCGGTGTTTGCGTGCGGTGGTCGACAGTGGGGGTTTTATCGCAGAGTTAGTGTCCACCGAAGGATCAAGCTGCGGATTGAACATTTCAACGCCTGAAAAGGACACCGAAACCAGCTGGTGATGACCCCCAACAGGTCCAACAGCAAGAAGGCCAGAAAACTGGGTAGCATTGGAGCTGTCCACGGATTTCGAGTGCTTATCCTAGAACTGTCTTATCCTAGAACTCGTCCCGAAACTCCTGTGACCAGAACTGCATGCCGAATCCGACGAAACGCACGAGCAAGAGTTCCTGTCCTGACAGCCCAGGCAGACAACTCAGTGGACCTCCAGCCACTGCTGCTATCTCAGGTGATTTCTCACGAGCTTTGCATGGAAAGTACATGACACCCATATGACCACTACTTCAGGCAAGCTGCCCCACCCCGGACGTCGGACGTCCATCAACAAGAAGACCCTCCCTCCCACGCTGCGTCGTCCGCACCTTTTGGGATTGGCTCAGCCAGTCGGACCACTCCTCGACCGATGGAGACGAGACGAGTTCTTCGCGACGGTGGTCTCACCGGAGGAGACACGGAGCCGGAAGGTCTCCAACGCAGCCGGTGGAATCAACCAACCAAGGTCTTACCATGTCTTACCTTCTGAAGTCCTTTTGGAGGTCTGGGTGCTGTTCCTTTTTTTGTCAGACTTCGCCGGAAGGACTCCAAAGGGTGATTTGGGAGGAATCGAGAGCGGAGAGTGTGCAATGAATCCATTCATCCAGGATCATCCAGGTCGACCTGTCAGGATGCCGAACACGGCGCACACGTCGCATGTCACCTGTCCCATCACAGCGCCCCATCACGAAAAAAGGCCTTGCGATGACGGACCGTTTTCGGACCGTTTTCGGTGTTTGATTCCACCTGGAAGGGCGACTTCGTATGGTTCGTGGGCTTCCACAGGTCAGGTGTCAGGTAGCCATAGGTGGCCTCAAGCTGCGAGGCCGAACCCGAGAAACCCGCGCAGTCTGTTTTGACCGGTGCGTGCCCCGGGGTGTGGGTCGCACTTGGGTTCGATACATTGGAGCTGATGCGATCAGATTTGATCTCTGTTTGGTGTCGAGGATGTCGGTGTGTGTCTGTATATGATATCTCTTGCTCCAGATGTCTTGCAGGATACTCTTCGTGAACAATTGTCTCCCTAGAACAAGACGTGGGCCTATCAATTTGTGTACAAAGCAAATCAAAGCAATGGGAGTTCCCTTGACTCTGTGGCCTTTTGCGAAGACACTCTTCATGCAAAGTACAGTACAAAAACGATCGATATCCTGTGGCTGCTAGCCTCTAGGAATGGACTTCTGAACGTGTTGCATCAAAATCACTCAGGACTCTGCCTGCCTGCCTGCCTGCCTGCCTGCCTCCTGCCAAACCTCAATCACCATATTTGACTTTGACGCAGTTTGAGACCAATGCCCGCACGCGACCCAATCACCATCAATCATGGCTACCCTATTCTCGAAAGCTCCTCTTCTGCCTCCCGCCGAGCCTTCAAAGCCTCGAAGGTGGCCTTGGCGAAGTTCGCCGTGGTCCTGGTCATCAAGGGGTCGAGCCAGCGGCGACGGGAGGAGATGGAAGGCGAGGGAGGCGGAGGCTTGCTGTGGCGACAACGAGGGCGGGTGGGACAAGGGGAGGAAGGAGAAACGGAACAGGAAAGGCACATATCAGACGGTTTGAGTGCATCTGAAAGTGAGGAGAATAACATAGAATTCTCAACTCAGCAGCTTTCGAGAGATTCAACGATGCACCTGGCAGCAAACGGACTCTCCTTCAGAATTGTGCCCTTGCACGTTGCTCTGTGAGCCTTACAAAGTGCCCAAGAAATCCTCGGCTGAGGATAGTTTCTTCATTTCAGCGTCCTGTCCTGGTGTGGCCACAGGAGCAAGTAAAGCAGTCAGAGATGCCCGCGAATGCCATCATCTTCCTAAGCATGAAGCAACGCTCTCACAACATCTCTGCGTTCAGTGTTTTTGTTGATTTACATGTCCAATAACAGCATAATTACATTATACAATATTGGCCCCTGGTCGGAGCCAAACTGCATGAACTCTCAACCTAAGTATCTAGTACCTCATGCAGTGCAAGAATGAAACAAACATACGGTCATACGGTATGATCCCTCTGGCCCCCTTGCTACTTCTGTGCCAGTCTTCCTCCCAAGATTGCAGAGGAGCATGTCTTTTTGAAGTTTGAAGTACTCCTCAACAACAGGAACTGGCATCTAAAATGTGTGAGGTGTTGATTGAAATTCAGATCTTTGTTCTCACTGCAAAGAACAGCGCGCAACTGCCACTTCGCCATCTTTTGGGCAACAGCCCTCTTTCATCCTCTTTCCGAAGTGACCATCCAAATCCGACCCCCTCGGGCGCGCCAATGACCGGCGAGCATCTTCATGACCGGTGAGCCAACGATGCCCGAGCCGCGCGGGGCAGGGATCAAGCGGGCGCGGACCGAACCGCACTTGCCATGGACCTGGTAGCGTATGGACCGGCTGAATGGATAGAGATCTGAAGGTGGGAGTGGTATCGTTTGACTGTCATTTGACCCTTCATGATGATCATGATGGTTCCATTTAAACAGGTGTGCCACGGGTGCCACATGCATGCTTTTTCACGGCACGTGTTGGGGCGTTTGTCGCTTTGTATCGCTTGGTCCAAATGTACCAAACATGTGCCGCTGCATCCTTCTTTCTGCAGCGACCAAGCGTGGGTGTTCCACTCCCAACCGACCGCAACGACCTCGACGACGAGGTCGTCCGTCCCTTCGTCCTGCCGCCTTCATGGGCACGGTGTGTGGGAGGCCGATTCCTCAGGACGTCGTGCGGACGTCCGGTGTGGACGGTCGTCCCATCGCGTCGTGTGGACGTGCGGTGTGGTGGAGAGATGGGGCTGTAAGCCGAGTGGAGGGTGTTGCTGTGCGATGGCAGAGTGACGTGTCATTTCAGGGCCTCTACTGAACATCATGACACATGAACACAATTGAACACATATGATATCATATGATAATCATTCATCATCAATGGGGTAGTTCCACCGTGGTAGCCATCAAGATGATTCATCCAAGCCACTCCACTCGAACCAAAAAAACCACTCGGAGTCCGGTTCCCGCGTCTCGCATGACAGTCTCCAGACCCGCACCATCGTCTCACGACCTCCGTCTCCGTCCAAGGATCGGTTGCCCCAGAAGCCTCGCCTCACCGGGATGAGGTTCAGCTTGGCAGCGATGATCCCGCCGCGGATGGCCGTGGCCACCTGGGGGCGTCATGGGGCGTCCGTTCGTCGGGACGAGTTCTCCGCCGCTCGGAGGTCGACCACCGGAGGCCGCGCGAGTTGTGAGGTCGGAGGTCGCCGGAGTCGACAACCCCTTGGAGCATCGGTGCCTGGATGCATGTTTGTCCCTCAAGCCCGCGCTGGGAGTGGTGAACGTTGCCGAAGTCTATTTTGGAGTTCAGTAAACGGTCGACAAAACTGCTTCCCGACAGGGCCTCCTTGGCGCACTTGGAGCCAAGACCGATGTGTCCGTTGGTGTCGCCCACCAAGACATAGCAAACGAAGCGGTTGGTCTGACCTGCAGAATCTTCCAGTTCCTTCCCGGCTCGTCCGGGAAGAAGGAAGTTCAAAATTCATGACTTCATCCGTGTATTGTTCGTCAGTTTCGATGGCTCCAGTCTTTTCACAAGTGTCAAAGCCATCTCTGTGACCATAGCCAACGGCCATGCCAGATCAAGTTTTGTTCAGGTCACAAGTCTAAGTGGCCTTCTATAAAGAAAAAGCTTTCCAGTCAAACGTTCACACTCAGAAGTTATGTGTGCTTCGACTTCTTCCTAAAGCCAACGCAATCGGTCCAGATTGGACTTCATGGGATCTTCCATTGAACTCTTGCCAGCCACGACCTACCGAGGCACGTTTCCTCCCGCGTACGTCACGGGTGTCCTTCTTCCCCACCTGGTTGGGGCCCAAACTTCCCGGCCTGCCGAGGTCATCTTCTGCACGGGGTGGATCTTTAACACCTCATCCTGGCACTGGTGCCGTTCTCGTTGGGCCAAAAACGCATCCGATACGATAGGTGGGTACGATGGGAGTGCCATGCATGGTGAGAGCTTTCTGACCCAGTTGGGTGTGATGAGATCACTTGATCACAAAGGAAAACACGTATTTTGAACCTGATTTTTGAAGGCCTGGACGCTTGGGGCCGAGAACACCTTCACCTCCTATTTCCTGCAGGAAAACCACGGTGGCCAGCAGAAGCTTGCCTTGAACACCTGCCCACTCTCATTCTTCCGGACCCAAACTCGCGCGCCTTCAAGGACCCTGGCGGGTAGAAATGGTCGATGATCTCGGGCTCCTGGCCGATTCACCCCACTTGGGCGACGGACTCATGGAGCACTGAATGCATGGCTAGGCTCCTAGTTGAACCCAGGTGCTTGGAGCCACTCGACGGCAACGAAGGGCTTCGTAGAGGCAATGAAAGACGTGGAACGCGCGAGCGCCGCAAATGAGTTGAACCAAAGACGATCCGAGGATCAAGGTACCATGTGGTACCATTGGAGTCCAGAAAAGTGTCCAGGCACTCGTGACGATCTCAAAACAGTCTGTAGATGAAAACAGGGGAATGATCTACGTCAGTAGAGGTTTGAAGGACGGGATCATGGTTCTTGAAGCTAACCTGAGATTCCATCCTCTGGATGTTCACTTCACGCAGCGAGCATTCAGTGTGTTCACACGTTACCATGCACCGCTCTAAACCTTCGACAAGCATCATCTGCGCACCACAACACATTATACCTGCCAAGGTCATCCGTTGGTCATCCTAGGTTATCCTATTGTCATGGCCTTCACACTGGTTGCACACCAAGCTCTCATTCATTTCGCGCATGATCATCTGTTTCACCCATGTGCCGTCATATGCGACCCTTGCATAGCCGTGGCGCAAAACAAAAAACTGGCTCCTTGATGGGTAAAGAGTGCAGGTAGACTTCCTGCGCGGGTGCAAGAAGAAACGGATCTTCCAACGCTCAGATCACAACCCTCGGATCTTCCAGGCCATGAGCCAAAAGCCGACGTCGAAACCGACCTTTTACATGCTCAAAAACAGCCCAAATGGATGCAGTTCAAGGCAGCAGAACCTGATCGCCCTGAAAGTCCGAGTATTTGCATCACAAACAAGTACGTAGCAAAGGCTTGACCTAAATCAAGGAAGGGTATTGTTTGGGCATCAAAAGTCAGATTCTCCCTTGGCTCCCCACCAGCCTCCAAGCTACCAATCTTCCCGTCGTTCACCAGGCGTCCCAGCTTGGTCATGGGCACCTGAAGGAAATGTGTCAAACAGCCGGACACAGGTCGTCAGGTTGTTCGAAACAAGTCTCAACAAACGTGACAGGATGTGGGCGGGGTGCTCGTGAGAATACCGCAAGATACAAGGTTCATACAGGTTCATCATATACCATACATTCACTTGGCGCATTCCACCTGCTCAAGGGAGGTGCGTCATCAAAGTCTATACTGAATCAACTTGAATCAACCAAGGGGTCGGGGCCAGAACACTAAACGGATCTAAACGGGAGGGAGAAAAAGTGAAACCCAAGCAAAAAGTGGAACTGCCAAGCGATGAGCCGCTTTCCATATATCTATATATCCAAATGGCCCATTTGTTCAAGCATTTTGAGACGCTCCGCGGCATTGTACAAGCTCGCAGGATGGTCCCTCTTTTCCGCGAAACAGAAGCATGCGCTCCTATATGAGAATATGTTGATCGGTAAAGCAAGGAAAGCTGGAGATGCGACTCACGGGCACTTTACATGTTTATCTTAAGATATCTTAAGTAAAAAGTGCCTTCGGCTGGGTTGCCCTGTTCAAAAGGCCATATGATGGAAACCAAAACACAAGCTCAACACAAACACACTCGGGAAATCAGCATGTACGGTCGGAATGCCACATGCCACACGGCAGCCTAAGTATGAAAGAAAGGCTTAAGTAAAATGTGGAGTATGTAAGGTGGCTCAACCATCACTGAAGGCTCCAAAGTCAAAGTTCTGAATCGAAGAGTAAACGACGAGTGAAAGACGGCGCATGCAAAGTCTGCAGACGAGACTCATCTCTACCTAAACAATCCTAAACAGCCTGAAATCTAGAGCACGAGGTTACAACAAAACACAAACTGTTCTGGACAATGCAGGTGCGTGCAGCTGATCAGGCGGCATGCAACTCTATGGGCACAGCTCTATGGGCCTCCTGCGCCCCCCCTGGCAGGGAAATGAAGAACGAAAACAAATTTTGCCAAAAGGCACCCTGTGACTGAAAGGTGCACAGCCAAGGTGCACCCTCCTTGAAAGAAAAGGTTGACAAGTGAAAATTGGAATACCTGTTCCAGCCAAGCTGCCCATTGCTTCTCCTCCTGCTTCCCCTTGCCTTTGCCCTTTCCTTTGCCCTTGCCTTTGCTCTTGCCCTTGCCTGGTGCATGTTGGGCAAAACTATTCACCACTGGTCTCCATGTTAGAAGAACACTTTGAATGAGTCGCACACGCACCCTTCAACACCATCTAAAAAGGCGTCAGAAGCGCAAAGAAGCACACCACTGATGTCCTGTTGATTGACATTCCTCATTCCTTTGAAAGGAATGTTGCATCCACCCCTGAACAGCCGCAAAGACATCAGACTCCGTATCAATCAAACCACCCATCGAACCACATGCATCCGGCTTGGTTTTGTGGCCTTTGCCGAAGTCGCCACCGCCCCCCATGGCCTCAGGGTTTTTGGCGAAGATTCAGAGTCACCCAGTGGAGGAAAACATGAGTCCAGCATGTCAAACATCTCCATCTTGGGGGGGTTAAGCAGTCGTAAACTTGTAGCTCCCTATGGTTCGCCAGCTTTGGCCAAAATCAGAGCCAGCGTGATCTGGAGAATTCTCTTTTTTGGGGGGGAGAGGTCCAAGGACCTTGTTAGGACCTGTCTCCGACCCCGACCTATTTGATATGGGGGTTCTTCGGTTCCAGCCATGTTCCCCCTTGTTTTGCAGATCCGTCTGCTGAAAATGGCAGAGGGACAATGGGACGGACGAGCCGTGGGAGCTGAGGAAGGTTCGGGGGTGCGAATAAGCAACAGTCGTCAAGACTTCAAACCTAGTACCAATAGGCGCATTTATCTGATCCCTGGTCCGCGCTTGTGAAAGCTCCTACAGTGCTGGGCAAAGTTCACATCTAGACATCTAGATTCATACCACACCCTTCTGGAGTTCGAAGCGTAACTGGATTGCCCACAAACGTTCAAAAACACCTAGACCCTTCGGGATTCTATCAAGAAAGGACATGTGAGAAAACAAAAGCAACTGCAAAGATTCAAGACCATCTTCTTGGCACAAAACATTGAGCGCGAAAGCATCACATGTGTAGAAGTCTGAGAGGATTTCTGATGCAGTTTCAACATGTTTAAACAACCCGCCGGCTTGGCCATCCTTCTCTTGGCCCAAAACCGCAGAATGGGGCAGCGGAAATTGTTCGATCCCTCGAAATGCCCGCGGACACGGCGGGAGACCGTGGCTTTGCCGCTTCCAGACCGACAGCGTCTGTGCTGGCGTTGCAAAGAGGCTGTTCTTGTCGTTAGTCGTTCGGGGTGGCACCCAGAATTCTAGTGACTGACTGACTCAGGAAAACCTCGGCGACTTCGATCGGTATGTTATGACGAAACCCGGTTCACTGCCTTTGCTGGGCGCCAGTGCTTGTAACAAAGTCCTAAGTTCACAGGTCCTAGAAGCGGAGCGTGCTTGCTGAATGGACTCATCTCCCCCAAGCGACTCCTGATTGATTGAAGATTTCATGCTCGACGATCCTCCAAGTGATGGCCTTGTTCTTAAAGAGTCAACTAGACAAAAAGTCGTTGTCAACCGCAAGACGAACATTATTTACGACAAGAGCCTTTTCTGTCTCGCACTAAAGGTGAAACATCCACGGAAACCTGCAACAGCGAGATCGCACAACAAACGAAGTCATTTGAACTCCTGGGTATTTCTTTCATGTGATGACGAATCACGAAGCAATACGAAGCAGTACGAAGCATATGTCCACAAGAACAGATGTTGTCTTGTAAAGCACCTATTTGGCTGCGGCAAGAGAATTGGCCCAGGGTCAACCCACGGTTTGAGATGGTCATGCTGCCATCACGACGCATTGCTGCGAACGCCAGGGGTCTTCGCGATCTCCGAGAGCTCAACCATGTCACCCGCTCAGGCCACGCCCTGAAGCAGCGGGTGTTCCGACCATTCCGACGAAACCCGCCAGGAGGTCCGGCAGGCCGTGGACGTCCCGAAACGCCCCCGAAAGGAGAAAGAGCTCGGGAGGCTGTGGCACTGCACCTTGTTTCGCACATTTGATGTTGCTTTTGGTCATTTGACATGTGTAAAATCTTACAATGTTCCTTAGACTTATCTCGATAACGTCAATCTAGCCTCGTATGAAACAAATTTGAGGATTAGTCTTTTGAAGAGTGTACATCCGTTCCTTCGTTCATCTTTCTTCATAACGATACGACAGTTCTTTGTAACAATTGGATATTCAAAAGGTATATATCGTGCCTACATAGGAGCATTCAGTCTTATCCAAAACCCTCTTGTATCATACACTGCGATTCTCCTTTCCGGAATTCTGGTCAAATAAAAATGCATCCCACCTTATCCAGAACCTTCTCTCATTTACACGGAAATTGTCCATCTTTTGTTTAAATGTGCATGCTTCGCTTTGACCGTATATATGCATCTATGTGAGCACGGTTTCTTCCATTAAGCAGCATCCCAAATATTCTTATTGCAAAAGGCTGTTACATCGCCCTTCCTTCGTAAGAATGACCATTTTTGAAGTTCGGTCCTTCGGTTCTAAGAAATCGCTCTGCAAAGGTGTTACCTACAATCAACCAACCTATCCAAGAGGGGAAGAGCCACTGTTAAAGTACAAAGGCTTCCAATGGTGATTGAAATTAAACAGCGTAGTTAATA